TTTTCCTGCCAGCGTATGGTGCTGTGACTGTGTTTGACAGTGACTGCAAGGCCAGTGGGATCTGGGGGGAGCTCACGGGGAAATATTTTGGAAAATGAATGTCCTTGACTGAGAGGTGGTGGGTGATGTTCAGTGCATTGCAGCGTTGCAGACTGCCCAAGCGATGTCCTGATAGCTTTTCACCCGTAACAGGTCCAGGATACTCAGGACAGTCCTTTGGGGATGGGGAGAGGCTTCCTCAAGGTTTCCTTTAAATTATGATGCTTGGGTGTCTTGCAGAGAAACTGTGCAGAGCTGAGCAACCCAGCTGAGGCCCAGAAGGAGCCCAGCATGGGTTGCAGACTGCTGCTTGCATCCTAGTGAGCTGAGTGCAATATGCTGTACCAGGGCACGGACAGCTTGTCACCTATACATGTGTTTACTGTAAACCTGCAGGCAATGGACTTCCAATTTCTGCAGGTTTTGAGTTCACCCAGGATATCTACTCCCTGTTCAGCCCATGTTCTTGTGTCCTGCTCCCCAGCACTGTAAACTAGAGACATCCCAGAGGCTGAATCCTCAATAGTTGCTTGAAATATGGCAGGAACCATGCTCACACTCAAAGGAGGGAGGGAAGCACTAGGGAAACCACTAGGATTGCCTTAAACTCGCCTGAAGAGGCAGCTTTGCTAGAGAAGGACCCTGCACCAAAAACACTAGTGATGCTCACAAGCAACTATAGGATTTGAGATCCTCCCTCCCCTGCAAAGAGGCTTTATGCCCTCACCCCTTTCTCTGTGAGGCTGTAGGTACAGAAAGGTGCAATAGTTGGGGGTATTTAGAGGTATTCTGACCCCAGGAGCAAAAAATTAGGCTGGAGAAGCCTTGCCTGGTTTCATAGCCTTCAAGCTGTTTCTTAGTAGTTTTTGGTGATGGCACTAATGATAACAGGCAGAAGAGCACACTGCCTGCTGCAGGCTAAAAGGATCTTAGTGCTGAGGACATGTGCTCCCTGGAAAATGTATGGAAGGGACCCCCGATACTGCTGGGGGACTGCAGGGCTCAACCATGGTGTGATCAGTTCAGCGTGGGTCCCTTGATCCTCCAGGATATGGGACCTGGTCAGCTCTTAGCACTAGTTAGAACAAGACTGGGCTGTGTCCCCAAGGGCTGGTGGCACAGCAGCAGTATCATTTGATGTTAAATCTGTCAGGAAAAGGGCCAGAGCCCCCGGGGGCTTCAGTTGTCTTAGAAGAGTGAGGGTCAGGCTTGTCTGCTGGATTCCTCCACATCCCTCCTGGAAGTGTTTTGGGGATCCCTCCTGTGCTGGCAACTCTGATCCTGGCTCCACTGCCTCTGTTGTGTGAGGACATCTTGGTCTGGGTCCAGTGGTGAACATTGCAAGTTAAGAAGGTACCAGCTGGCTTTTTGGTGTCCTCAGCAGCTCTGGATGCAGCTTGTACCAATAGCCGGAGATGAGCAAAACCAAGAGATGAACATGCTCCTGAAGCCTCTGCGCTTCATCCTTTTACTTGAATAAACCATCCCAAGGATGGTGTTGTCTTGTGAACTCCAAGAAAAGACCCTCGTGCAGAGCAAAGCATCACTTCAACGTATGTAGGTGCTCTGGCTCCACCATGATGCAAAGCCAACTTGGACTCTCAGCAAGGACCCACCTTCCCTGGCCACGTACCAGCTCCGGGAGCACCCGTCTTTTCCTGCGTGCATGGAGCAGTGTCCATCCCTTGCTTGCAGCACAGACTCGACAGGGACACCAAGACCCTGCCAGGTCACGGAGGGCTGTCCCATCTCTCACAGAGGGCCTGTGGGGAGATGTGGGAACGTGCGCTGAGGTCACTGCTGGGCATTTCTGCACATCAGTATCTCACTTCCAGTAGGCTCCAGGGATCAGAAACAGATTTTAACGGCTATTTCCATGCACTTGGAAAAAGTTTGCCCACCGACTTTTCATGTCCCAAACAGGTTTGTGTGCATCTTCTCATATGGAGCTGGAATGCAGCAGCTGGGTTTTTTGTTCAATACTTTAAAATAGCACCTTCTCCTGTCAGAACATTGCTATTTATAATCTTGATATCTGTGGCTAAATATATCCCTGCTGCTGTTAATGATACAAACCTCTTTGGCTTCAGCTGGTCCTACAGAAATTCTAGAGAAGAGAATTTCCATCTCATAGAGAAAACCAAACACAGACTCTAGGGACTCATAATCCTGGCTGAGGTTTTGACCTCTGATGCTTTCTGGAAATGAAAGAGATCTGAGGTTCTTTCAGGTCTTTCTTGTACATGTGTGCAGCCTCACCAAAGCTGTGTAATGTCTGTGCTGATCTGTAAAATACTGTTCAAAGAACTTTTAAGGTAATTGTAAAATATTAAATGTTGATTTATTTCGAGTACAAGTACAGCATTTGAGTGGAGTAATTCCTGAGCAGGTAGGCGGCATGGGAGAGGCTCCGTATCTCCACGGGAAGGGCAGGGAGTACCTGGGTCCTTTGCAGAGCAGCCGACCTGAGAGCAGGAAAAGGCTCATATAGTCATTATATTCATGAACTTGGTCCCAGAGGGCATGACATGGAGACCTGCCACGGTCAATTGAGCTGCTCGTGTTCTATCAGTAAAGAAGCAGGTTTTGTTGGTGTAAATCCAACATTGGTTTCATGCTGGATGAAGGAGAAAAGAAACTAGCAGAGCTTGTGTGTGCAAGGTGAGATCTGTGCATACCCTTCCCTTCCAGGAGGCTCCTTGACCTTTGCAGTGCTGCTTTGCAGAGAAATACAAGTTGCTCCTGGAGCTGAGAGCACCTGGCAGCTCTGGGGCCATGGGCAAGGTCCAGCACAGCAGAGCCCTGGGACAAAGGGCGACTGCTCCAGGTTGGCAGGTTTGTGCCCAGCAGCTGGGTATTGGGGTATTTCTGACTTGGAAATCTCCTCTGCATCTTTGGAGATGCAGATTTTGCAGATGGAGCTGTTGCTACTGAGAGTGCTCTGGAACATGAAATGACCCTTCCAGATGTTCAACTGTCTCAAGTGTCGCCCTTCTCTTCCTGTGGATATTCAAGGAAAGAGGCTTAATTGGTAGGTGTGAGGGCCAATGTGTTGTAATCAAATAAACAACGTGGGAAAAGTCATTTCAGCTCAGACAAGCCAAAAACCAGACAAGAATGACCTTTGTTAATCAGCACTTTGTTAAGTATTAGCAATCAAATTTTTTCACTGTGATTAGAGAATAAAAAAGGTGGTTTTTTAAATAAAAAGAAAAGGGTGTTTTGGAAAGGCAAATAAAATTCAAGAGGAAAATACTTTATTTTCTGAGCTGGAATGATAATCTGCTTTTGTTTGTTCTCAACAACAAAAAGCCCCCAAATCCTAACCACAAATCCCCCTTCCCTGTTCTTTTATTTTTAAAAAGAAAAGTGGAACGAGGAACACGCATGCTTAAAGCTGAAGCAGGAAGAAGGTACTTTGTTCTAAAAATGTGCATGATTAAAAGTTTAGGATCAGGGCTCGGTTCTGATCCTTGAGGTTCTGCGTAGCTGAGGCTTTTGTTCTTGTAAATACAGAAGATTTAGCAAACAGCTGCTGATGAAGTAAGCAAGGCAGGGTTAAGGCTAGACTAACAAAACTGGTTTTGCCTCTTGTAGATATGGTCAAACCAAGTCGATGGAGCTTTTTGCGAATCTAAACAGCATCAAAGCTGAGCTGGTCTGTGGCCTCTCTGCATCTGTGAGGGATGGGAAGACAGTGGATCAGGTGTGTTCGGCCTTTCAGGCTGGGAACACCAACTTACACCTTGGGGTTTTGGTATGTGTGAATTTATCAGGGCGCAGTGGCAGTCTGAGATGGTCCCCTGCTCTGTCAGGGGTTGTCATCCCACAGCCACCTCAGCCGAAGCTGCTGGCCTGGGCACAGCTGGAGTTGGATGTGCTCTATTGCCAGTGAGGTGGGACAAGGAGATGTGCTGTGAGAAGGCACTGTAGGGTGACTTCTCAACACCCACCATCGGTGGTGACCCTCCATCCTCTGCTCTGCTCCAATAGCGCTTTGTGTGTAGGTGCTCCTCATGTTTACTGGTACCAGCTTCTCCCCACCAGCACCACAAGAGGCATCTCAGTCTGTATGTTTGCGTCAGGTACCAGTGTGCCACAGGAGCTGATTGAGAGCCAAATCTGCCTCTCCAGAGCCACCATGGCTCAGGGCTGGCAGGGATCAAAGAGCTTAACACATGCAGGTCATGTCAGTGAGGTTGCTCAAGGTCCAGCCAAGGTTTGAATAGCTTCAAGGATGGAGATCATCATAGAATCATAGAATGGTTTGGGTTGGAAGGGACCTTAAAGATCATCCAGTTCTAACCCCCCTGCCATCAGCAGGGACACCTTCCACTAGACCAGGTTGCTCAAAGCCTCATCCAACCTGGCTTTGAACACTTCCAGGGCGGGGGCATCTACAACTTCCTTGGGCAACCTGTTCCAGTGTCTGACCACCCTCACAGTGAAGAACTTCTTCCTAATATCTCATCTAAACCTCCCCCTTCCAGTTTAGAGCCATTTCCCCTTGTTTTGTCATTAACTGCCCTTAAACAGGGCATGTTAATGCCCTGTTAACTAGATGTCCTAGTGTATGAGGTGGAGAACAGCATAAGCCAGTTATCATCCAGAGGAGCAGTCCTGAAGTGGCCACTCCTCATCCAATGGCTAATTAGGAATA